TTAAAAAAAAAAAAAAAAAAAAAAAAAACGGGCTGGGGATTTAGCTCAGTGGTTCTGCTGGCTCACAAGCTAAAGGACACGAGTTCGATCCCCACTACCAAAAAACACACAACCTTTAGGGCCAGGGGATTTAGTCCAGTGGTTCTGCCACCTGCCTCGCAAGTGCGAGGTCCCGAGTTCATTCCCTAGTGCCAAAAGAAAAAACACAACCTTCATAGGGTTAAATACGGATGGTGAATGCAGTTCTTTAATTTGTTGGGACTCAACACATTGTTTCTCAAATGTTGAGTTTCTTGTGAAGGCTACAGATTTGGACATAACTCTTCACAGTTGCAGTGTATTGCAAAATTCTCTTCCAGCCTGTTTTGCTCCACCTGTGTTAAGTATGCTCACAGTGGTCTCTACGACAGCCGGCCTTAGGTTGTTCCTGACCCTCATGTTGGGTTTCGGACTGGTTGGCACCCACTCTGAAACTAAAGGATCTGCATTGCTTCTCAATCTGCTTTGAGTTCCATAGAGAAGCAGCTGAAAATAAAATGGCATCTTCTGTGGCACTTACATTTTTTTGCTGTCTTTTAGGCACTCAGGGAGTTGCACCTGGTCCTGTAATTGGGCTGCAGGCACCATCAACTGGTCTTCTTGGTGCCCGACCCGGCCTCATCCCACTTCAGCGCCCTCCAGGGATGCCTCCCCCTCATTTACAGCGGTTTCCCATGATGCCACCTCGCCCCATGCCACCACACATGATGCACAGAGGGCCGCCACCGGGACCAGGGGGCTTTGCGATGCCACCGCCTCATGGAATGAAAGGGCCCTTTCCTCCACATGGGCCCTTTGTTAGGCCTGGTGGGATGCCAGGGCTTGGGGGCCCAGGACCAGGCCCCGGGGGTCCTGAAGACAGAGATGGAAGGCAGCAGCAGCAGCCCCCGCCACAGCAGCAGCAGCCACAGCCACAGCAGCCACCTCCACCACAGCCACAGCAGCCGCCACCTTCACAACAGCCGCCACCAGCTCAGCAGCAGCCACAACAGTTTAGAAATGATAACAGGCAGCAGTTCAATTCAGGTAGAGACCAAGAAAGGTTTGGAAGAAGATCTTTCGGAAATAGGGTGGAAAATGACCGGGAACGGTATGGGAACCGTAATGATGATAGAGATAATAGTAATCGTGAAAGGAGAGAGTGGGGAAGAAGAAGCCCTGAACGGGACAGGCACAGAGACTCAGAAGAGAGAAATAGACGCTCTAGTGGGCATCGAGACAGAGAGAGAGATTCTAGAGATAGAGAATCTCGTAGAGAGAAGGAAGAAACCCGAGGAAAGGAAAAGCCTGAGGTGCCAGACAGGGCCAGTGGTAACAAAGCCACTGAACCTCCCCTTAGCCGAGTGGGGAACGTAGACAATGTTTCAGAACTTGATAAGGGGGAGGCCGAGGCCCCTGTGGTAAAACCTCCTGAAGAGTCACCTGCTGAGGCTACCTCATCCGTTGAACCCGAAAAGGATTCTGGCTCAGCAGCAGAGGCTCCTCGCTAGAGACTGCAACTTGCAAAATGTGACAGTGACACTTCTGGAGTGTAGAGCTTGAGGTGTACAGATGCTGTATTATATTTGCTCCTGCTATCTCAGCCCCGCGGTAGTTGGTGGGGAATTGTAAGCAATTTGATTGCTTCCCTTCTATTTAAAAATAGCTACAAAATAACAAAAAATACTGAAATATGAATAAATATTACCCCTTTTGCTGTAACTTTTTTAAAGTTTTGACTTTAAAAAGTTTACAAATCGTAATTAGAAGTGCTCTCTATTTTTTTTTTTTTTAATTTAAGACAAGGTAACGGTGAAAGCTCCTCAAAACAATAGGGATGTTTTTAATAAACTCTATTTTCGTAACAAACTTTAACGTGTGCTATTCTTCCTACACTGCATTAAGGTGGAAAAGGATTGTTCACCATCAAAGTTTGAGCTGTTAATAATGTATGAGTCTAAATTAGACTTATCTGATGGAAATGGACGTTTTTATGTAGCTCTTTCATTTGTAGTTCTCTTGATTTTTAAAATTTCAGTTAAGAAAAGTGGTTTTAATGTTATTGAAAAGCTTGTTAGTGTTTGTAACTTAGCCAAGGTTTTTTCCACTCGCTTTGTAATAATGTTGCCCTAATTAATTTGTAAAGCAGAGTTTTCACTGGGGAAAAATTGGATTCCCAGCATTATACATTGATTGTACTATTATCTGATAGCCTAGGTATTAGAAAGTTAAGTGTTTAGGGTTTGTGGGTTTGGTTTGGTTTTTGCTCAGTCTCATTAAATTTTTTAAAAGGGTAAGAGAAAAATCAAGATAGTATTTCCAACCTGGAAGTTTTTCATCTTATGTAAGGATTTAAATGAGCCTGTTGTTTCCTATAAGCCTTGCCTGTTGCCTTTACCTTAACTCCCCTACTAGGTGGAGGTAGGCAACTTTTTGCCACCTGTGAAGTGCTTTCTCTTTGCTTAAAATACTTGGGTTGGCCACTGGTTGTGTACCCTGGTGGTACAGTGCTTGCCTAGAATGTGTGAAGGCCTTTCGTCCAATCCTTAAAACAGGGCGGGGCAGGGGGAACCTGCTGGTTTAACTAGGAAAATAGTTGTAGGTTATCCAAGAAGTTACCACATGAAAGCATACACCACCAAATCAAGCCTGTATCTCAAACAGTGCAGAAAGGATAAAACTACTGGCCCACCTCTAAGACCCAGTGTTACACACAGCCTGTGGAAGCTCACTTCAATTCTTAAACTATCCTTTTTTCAGTGTGCTGAGCAGTTTTCTTTGCCCTCATGCACCAGGTGAAGCTGCTGATGACTTTGGGTTTTAAACTGTTATCTGCAGCAAGGTATTCGTTGTGACAGAGAATGTATTCCTGCCTTTAGAAAGCCAGGTAATTTCTTATCTGTGGATTTAAAAATCTTTGTTGGCCCAACTTCAGTTTTAAAGTCCTAACTGAAACTGCTTTTGGAAAGAAACACTGATTATCCTTGTCCAGATTTGAAGTACTTTCAGCTTATTTTTCCTGTTGAAAGTATTAAGACCATGCTACCTGTACATGAAAAAAAATCCAAAAGTACTAACTGGTAGTACGATTGATTCTACTTGAGGCTTCACCCAGTCCTTGTATTTGAATCATCCCACATGTGCAGTAAACTATACACAGATATATGTTAAATGTGGTTTTTAAATTCTACCAGAATGATCATTTTAACCACTTGCTATGAGCATACTGCTCTTTTATCACATTTTTAATGCTTTGGAAACACTAGTTGTTCCTAAAAGATGTCCTAAATATTTGATAGTTCCTACATATGAACAGGATTATTCCTGTTTTCTCTATCAGAAGTATGATTTTTAATTGAATAAAGACCTGTAATCCAGGGGCTGGGCATTTAGCTCAGTAGTTCCACTTCCTGCCTTGCAAGTGCAAGGACCCAAGTTTGATCCCTGGTATTAAAAAAAAAAAAAAGACCTGTAATCCAGAGTCAAAAACCTTAATCATTTAAAAGTATTCTCACTTACATGAAGATATGGTTTCACTAATTGAATGTATAAATTCCTAAATTTCAATAGCTAGACCCACAAACACTTCCTTGGTTTTCTCTTCCAATACTAGTCTTATTTCTTTAATCTGAAGACAGATTATGCCAAAATCCACCTTGAAAAGTACCATTCTACAGGCAGGTAAATTAATCTTAGCTGAGGACATGATTTACTTTTTACAAGCTGACGAAGTTACCAAGGAGCTGTTAAACTATCACCTGCTTTTACAATAAATTTAAGTACTTTACAAATCAAGTTTCCCTAAAGGTAACCAAGGACAACCTATTTGTCTAAGATCAAAGTTTAGGTTGCTATAGCTAACAGACCAGCTGCTAAAAGTTTATGCATTATGATGGCCTAAATTGAAACACTTTCAAAATAATTCTATGAAAGGACCGGGGATTTTGTTCAGTGGTGCCACTGCCTACCACAAAAGCGCAAGGTCCCAAGTTCAATCCCCAGTATCCAAAAAAATAAAATAAAATAAAATAGTGCTATGAAATGATCTGTTCCATTCAAGCTCTCTGTAAACAAGGAAGCTCATTTTGAATTTTGGTTTGGGTATGCCAGTGCCATACAGAGTGTTTATTCACAGGCTTGAATGAGACTGAAAATTTTCAGACAGTAAACAATATCCATATGTTATCAAATCTGGCAACATACAGAAAACTGAAGCATACATTTTAATTGTTTTAAAAACTATACAAATCTTCCAAGAAAAATCAATTCTCATTACACAAGTACTTGGAGCAATTAAGAAAGAGCCACACAAATTACTTTTAATTTACAATGTTTAATGTTTTTCAAGTTCAATTTCTACAGCTAGCAGAATGAAATGAGTGACTAGGACTTGGACCACATAGCAGGGAATGTTTACTGGGCGATCCCAATCACACCACAAGCCAGGCGACTGCCAGCATTTCCAGTCTTTGTACTTTCATCATTTCCACCTTTGCCCAGGTCATCTTCTTTTTCATGGACCTTTATAAAGATTAAAAACATTTAACTGTGGGCTATCAAGTAAGTAACACCTATTCCCAACAATACTTCAAAGACTCTTAAGAAAAATTAATATTAGAAAATAGTATGTTAAAATAACCCCACTAGTAGAAAAATAATACCGGTATTTATGCTAGCAATTTAAAAGAAACTACTGCACAAAGTTTTTTCATGCTGGTACAAAGATGTATTATCTTTAAGTACTAGGTAAGTTGCTATTTCTAAATAGAATACCTGCTTTCAGGCCACCACATGCTGCTCTTAACGCTCCATAAAACTATGAGTAACCTTAATTATACTAAACTCATAATTTCATGCCCAATAAGTGTAAATACTTTTAAAAGTATTTAGCAACAGTGCTTTCAGTTTTGCACATCAAACATTTATAGATGATTTTTCTGCTTCACCAATAGGGCTGAAGAAAATTCTAAGGATAAAAGGCCAGCTGAAAGGAAGTACTTCCTGAATTAAGTGCCCAAGGGAGGAGGTATGAAGCCCATCAGCTCCCCTGGAGGGTGAGCTGGGAGCCGCCCTCCCACCCGTAAACAAGGATAATAATAATTAAGTCCATCCAAATTCTAGACTCAACAATCTGTTCTATTTAACTACAAAGCAAAACAGTTATGGCAAGAAAATCTAGCTGTTTAAAACTTAAAGACTACTATTTTTGCAATTCATGTCCAAAATGATCTAATATAACCTGCTTTTTACTGTCTTAGGATAATACCATTCTTACCTGATTTAGAGAAAGCATTTTCACTGTAATTGTCCAATAACCAAACTGCTTTTTCTGAACTGAAAGCACAATTTACGTGGTTCTTTAGAAACCAGGAGCAACCCAACCATCTACGAAGTGATTAAAAGATACACGGCTGTGTATTACAAGAAATCTTATACACTCCTTATGTGAAAACTTACCACCATTGTGCGGCCAATGATGGAATTGGGTCCAACAAGTGAGATCAGAGAATCCTCAATGGATACATTGGCCACACCATCTGTGCCCGCAGTCACATTGCCCAGGTCTCCAACATGCCTAAAAGTGAAAAGGCATCAGATGGATTAGAACTGGATTCCTCTGAACATTAGGAGAGTACAAGAGCTAAATTAAAATGTGAGTCAAATGTGTAAGGGTAGGCTCAGAGTATTATCAGACAAGACTACTTTTCCAGACTGACCAAAGTTTGAAAACACAAATTTAAAAACAAGCAGCTAAATACAGCTCTTCAATCAAGGCTTTCAATGCAGAGTAAAGGTCTGAGGAGAGGAACGGGCTGGGGCCCACCTCTGACTTCATGGGTAAAGTATTAAACAGTAAAGGCTCAGATACTGAGTTATGCCTATTAGTTATCCACATAGTTAAGAAAGATACCCCCTAGGCCTCTTATAAAAATTAATCCTGTTCTTAAATTCGGTACTTTCCTAAAAGGCTTTCAAAAACCTTACACATGGAAATGGGAGTCTCAGCTACTTTGCAATACCAATAGTACCTACAGAAGCTTGTTTCACAATGACAGTTTATTTTGCTAATGGCCGACGTACTGTTTTTCATGACATTTCTTGTATTAGTTCCCTTTGGTACTTGTATTAGTTCTATATTCAATAAATGCTACAAAACCAATTGTTTTAAGTGTCCCCTTTGTCACCTCCTTAGCCCAGGGAGAAGGCATTCCAGCCACTTGCAGATGGGGGAGTTGTAGGGGAGACAAAAATTCAAAAGCAGAGGTAGGGAAACTAGTCAGTTATCTCGGTGTTTGCAAGTAGACACTATATTAACCCTATAAAGCCCTAACCACTGCAGTGGAAGAACTAAGCATCTTGTCGCTCACCTCTCTTCATCCTTTGGCCCACCATGTTTTTTGGATAGAGGATTAAAGTGAGGACCTGCACTGGTACAGCCTATTTCAAAAAAAAAAACAATTATGAATCAAAATAATAAATTCTAAAAATAAAGTGATCATTGCTAAAAGATCCAACGAACAAAGCACTGAGCTGCATCATGATTTCTGGGATAAAACTAGGAAGCAACACCATGGGCTGGAGTAGAGACAAGCGGTAACTATTGACACTAGTCAAGTTAACTTCCTTCTCTAGCTTTGGTTTCTAAAACATGGAAGTCGGACTTCATGTTCAATGGCTCTCTGGTAACGAAAATCCTGGTTTCTCAGAAGGTAGCATATGCTGTAACTATAATTTATCTCCCCAACAACATACCACCAAGAAGTTCTGCCTGCAGCCTATTAAACTGCACCTATGTCCCAGGGCCAAACCAGAGAGCAGCAC